GGTTAGACGAAAGAATCCGGGCCAGGTGTGGTGGCTCACAAAGGTGATCCCAGCACTTTGGGAGGGCGATATGGGAGGATTGCTTGAGTCCAGCAGTTAGAGATCAGCCCAGGGAACACAGGAAGACCCCATCGCTACAAAAATGTTTAGAAAAAAGATTCATAAAAAAAGAAAAAGAAGAAAAGAATTTGAGTAAAAACTCTAAGAAGCGAAGGCAAGTCATGTCTATGTCTGGGGCAGAGTGCTGCAGGGAGAGGCAACACAAGCCTCAATGCTCCGAGGCTGCAGCCGGCCAGGTATACACTGAACAGCAGGGAGGCCAGTGCTGAGGCAGTGAGTACGGTGGAAAGGCAAAGGGAAGGGGCCAGAGAGGTGACTGGGATCCTCTAGGCCACCTTGACTTCGAATGAGATGAGAAGAGGGCTTTGAGTGAAGAGGTGGCTTTGCTTACATTTTAAAAAGTTCAGTCTGGCTTTTGGATTTTGTCTTAGACCCTTTGAGGCTGCTAGAACAGAATCCCATACACCGGGTGCCTTGTAAACAACAGAAAGAAAGTCCAACATCAAGGCACCTGCAGATTTGGCATCTAGTGAGGGCCTGCTTCCTGGTTCATAGGTGATGCCTTCTCTATGTGTCCTTATATGGCAGAGGGAGTGAGGGAGCTCTCTGGGGTCTCTTTTATAAGGACATGAATCTCATTCATCACAGCTCTGCCCTCATGACCCAAACAGCTACCAAAGGCTCCACCTTCAAATACCTTCATATTGGGGATTAGGTTTCAACATATGAATATTGGGGGGACCTAAACAGTCTATAGCAAGTTTGTATTAGGGTACAGGGGGACAAGAGTGAACACAGGGAGAACAGTTAAGAGATTAATGCAAGAATCCAAGTAATGGATGGTGGTGGCTTGGACTAGGACACTGGCAGTGGGATTGGTAAGCAGTGATCAGATGCTGGATATATTTAGAATAGAGCTTATAAGGAGTGAGAAAAAGAGAGACAGCCAGAATGATTCCAAGGTATCTGGAGTAACTGGAAGGATGGAGTTATCATAACGGAGATGGGGGAGAGTGCATAGGTTTGGAAGGGAACACCAGCAGCTCTGTTGTAGACATGTTAAGTTTGAGATGCCTATTGGAGATGTAAGTGGAAATGCAAATTGACATTAGACATGAACTCTGGAGTTCAAGAGAGTTCCAGGTTGGAGATACAAATTAGGGAGTTTTCAACCTACAGCTGTTATTTAAAACATTGAGACTGCCTGAGCTCACAGGCAAGTGAGTGCAGACAGATAAGAGGTCTGAGGACTGAATCCTGGGGTACCCAAGCTAAGGTATCTGAGATATGAAGAAACAGCAAGACAAGGAAGGAGGAAAACCAGTGCGAGGCACCACAAGAACAATATGTTTCAAGAAGGAAATGATCAACCGTGCAAATATTACTGGGAAGTCAAGAAGGAAGACGAGATCGGGACTGAGACCGGGCCCTTGGATTCGGTGTCATGGAGTTTAATGGAGAGTTGACAAGAACTGATTGGAAAGCTAGATTAGAATGGGCTTGAGAGAGTTGGAAGAGAGGACCCGGAGACATTATAGCAGCAACTCTTTCAAGGGTCTCTGCCAATGAGTTATGGGGAGGAAGCTAGAGGAGTGGAATCAAGAGGGTTAGAAATACCGCCGCCCCACCCCCGCCTCCCCGCCCTGCGCCGCCAAGAATGAGAAAATGGCATGCTTGAGGGAGATCTGCAAGATCAAGTAGAAGAAAAATTTGGTGTTTTAGGAAAGAGAAATTGCGATAGTCATGTCTTTGTGTGTGTGTGGGTGGGGGGGGGGGCGGGGTGCATGAGGGAGGGAGATGACTTGGCCCCAGGTAGGATGTAAGGCAGTCATTCCATCTAGGGGAACAGGAGGGACAGGACCGCAGAGTAGGAGGGCACAGATGATGGTGGGCAGTAAATGTGGGGAGGAAGTTAATTACCTAGCAGGATAATAGGTGAGTTATTTCCATTTCCTAAATGTTCCAATATGTATTATTACACAGTTTCACAAGATATTAAAGGAAACAATTCTTTCCGACATACGGCTTGTATGAGTAATGCGGTGAGAGCAGTTTTAAAGCTTACTCGGTAAGTACACTCCCGGGTCCGAAGCGACCTCTAGTGGTTCATTTAGACCATTACGTTTTTCTTTTTCTTGCTCTTAAAAAGTACAAAATAGCACTGTCTACCTTCAATATTATTTTTAAAAAAACATGATCACAGTTTAATTTAGAAAAGAGTATCAGGCATTTGAGTAAAATAAATATAAACCATCTGCAGTCCAAACTGGAGTTGATATTGTCATTACTAAGACTTTCCTTTCTAACTGTATCATTCTCTATAGTACCATTAATATTTATGTTCATTCTGTTTCTTGAATGAGTGGTTATATTAAACCAAGAGGAGGGACAACTAGTGGGCTATTTAATCCAAGTCTTCTCATTGCTTACATGGAGCACAGCCTCCACATATTTTTCATTACTGGTTTCACTTGATTTGGGGTTGTTACTGGGTTTCCTCTGCCTGGGATGTTCCCATACCCTGGGTTAATTAACTCACTTCCTCATGGGAGTCTTTCCAGGCTTTCCAGACTACTTTAGGGTCCCCCTGTCATGCAAGCTCACAACCCTCTGTGCTTCTTTCTGCCTCATCCCATTTCTCCCACTGCCATAAAAGAGTCAATTCAGTAATTATTGTTTAATGTGTGTTTTTTTCTGGTAAATCATGAGACCCATAATGGCCGAGACTGTGTCTGGCTTGTTCACTGCTGTCTCCTTAGCACTTAGATCAATGCCCAACACTTACCCTGTACTCAAAAACATGTATTGAATGAGAACACACTATCTTGCAGGAGACTCTTACCCATGTTCCTATTCACATCTTTTGGATCCCACTGTAGAGGAGACTGAGTTTCGGAAACGAATTTTTATTTCTAGAATACAATTTGGAATTGCTTTAGGTGCACCTGTGACAGATGCCATAATTTGTTACAGAACTGTCCCAGCTATTCTTTCAATAGCACAATCTTCAGGATTGAAGCGGTAAGTTTCCATCTCTCCTGCAAAGAAACTCTTTGTGACAAAGGCTGAATCCTTAGATATGATCCTGACCTTATCAGACAACTTTTTTCCCCCAAAACAGAACTAAGGGAAAGACCGTAAGATGCCAATACAGGGGGCAATATAATAAGACAATTTCACATTGTTCAGCCATATCCATGGTCCTAATCCATACAGTCTCCTTATTCCCAGATTTAGTAACATTCTGGTGCCTATAGGTCTTAATTCAGCAACAGTAACACTAAAATGGACATGGTGGTAGTGTTCATTCACTTGAGGTCTTTAGGCCAGCTCAGCCTCATCTTTGAAATTTTTCTGAGTGCCTCCATTTACTACCAGAGAACAGGGGAATGGCTGGTTGTCAAATGTCACGCTGGCCTATAATTCTTGGATCATAGACATGTGACCCATGTCACATGGAGTAGGAACAGAGTGAAATGCTCTGAGCTGGAGTCAAGCTTGTCTCCATGTGTACCCAGAATGTCTGTTATTATCATAGCTTCTATAACCTCCTACCTAACACCCCCAGTTTAATCTCCTGGTATTATACTTTTTGGTGTAGTACTTTTGATGCACGCCCTAAAAGAAATTCTCTTCTATTGCTTGTCCAAAGATAGCAGCGTTTTCCTAAAAATCACAACTTTAAACTTGGTTGTTATGGAGGCAAGTGTGTTGACTAAGTCCACTCTAATTTTATTCTAGTTGGGCATGGTGGTGCACACCTGTAGTTCCAGAGACTCAGGAGGCTGAGGTATGAGGGTGAGGGTCACTTGATGCTATCGTTTTTTTTTTTTTTTTTTTTTGAGACAGGGTCTCACTCTGCCACCCATGCTGGAATGCAGTGGCACAATTATAGCTCAACTGCCTGGGTTCAAGAGATCCTCCCACCTCAGCCTGCCAATTAGCTGGAGCTATAGACATGTGCTACCACACCCAGCTAATTTTTTTGATATTTAGTAGAGACAAGGTCTTGCTATGTTGCCCCGGATGTTCTAACTCTTCAAGTGATCCTCCTGTCTCAGCCTCCCCAAGTGCTGGGATTACAGGCGTGAGCCACCATGCCCAGCACATGTCTTCTAAAAGTTGCTGTTTCTTCCTTCTTAGTTCTTTCCCATACTGTTCTTCTGGATGACTCTTTATCATCCTTCAGGTCTCAAGTGAAAGGTCACTTACTCAGAGAAGCTTGGCCTCACCACACAATTCAGTTAGTTCCCTACCTCTTTAGTCTCTTTCATAGACCCTGTTATTTTCCTTCATATCATTTATCACGAATCTTCGTATATTTATTGCATGGGATACATTCAATTTTGTCGATTTTCTTAGAATGTAAGGTTCCCAAGGGCAGGGATTTTGTTTTGTACACTTTTGTAATCCTAAGACCTAGCACAATGCCTGACACACAGCTGGTGTTCCATAAATATCTGTGAACTGACTATTTGTTTCACTTATCCTTGGTCCTGCTACTGCATTTCAGTTCTTACTACTGCACTGTAACCTCCAAGAGGTAGGAGAAAATTATATTGCCCCCTCCCTCTGTCACTGAGTTACTGAGACAGCAGCCTTGCACATTTGAGCAGCTGCTGCCTTCTCCTGGGAGGCTGCCAAGTACCCCAAGGTGCACAATAATTCTTCTGCTTCAGCCTCCCGAGTAGCTGGGATTACAGGCATTTGCCACCACACTCGGGTAATTGTGTGTGTGTGTGTGTGTGTGTGTGTGTGTGTGTGTGTGTCTGTATTTTTAGTAAAGACAGGGTTTCACCATGTTGGTCAGGCTGGTCTCGAACTCCTGACCTCAGGCGATCTACCCGCCTCGGCTTCCCAAAGTACTGGTATTTACAGGCGTGAGCCACAGAGCCTGGCCAATAATTCTATTACTAGTAATAGCTCTACAATCAGTAGAGCTGTCACAAATGCTTTCAAACTTACATTCATTGGTTCTTGCACACCTGAAACTGAAAACTATTGCATTGCAATTGAGAATTAGCAGACTGTTAAAGTTCTTTTTAACAATTTGCATAACCGGGGCGTCTTACGCCATCTCTCTGAAATGAAATTCGGATATAGACAGCCTTGCGTTTAAGGGCCTGCGCTCTTGCAGCAGCGCCTCTGCCCAACGGGGGGCGGCAGTATCTCAGTAACTCCTAAATGGTGTAGGTGGGAGAGATTCGCGTTCAATATCTTTTTGCCTCTACACGCTTTCCGTAGCGCCTTAGCCCGCTCGAGTTTCAAGGCGCGTTGTTGCTTAACGAAGCTGAGTGCTACACATCGTCCGCTGCTCTCCTGATCATGGCTTCTCCGAGTTCTTTCACCTACTATTGCCCTCCATCTTCCTCCTCTCTCTGGTCAGAACCGCTGTACAGTCTGAGGCCGGAGCACGCGCGAGAGCGGTTGCAGGACGACTCGGTAGAAACAGTCACGTCCATAGAACAGGTAAGGTGGCAGGACTGGGCGAGGCGCCCGCGCGGGGTCTTCTGGGAGCGGGAGTCCCATCATCAAGGCCTCCCGGGTGCGGAACTCACCGGGGAACTACGACTCCCACGGCGCACCACGGCGCCTCCCATCTGGGAAGCTCCGGGCGCCCAGTCTTGGGCTTCGTCGTGGAGCGTTTGTGCGGCCAGCTTGGCGAAGGGTCGTTTCAAGGTTGGGCTTAGAGGAGAGGGCAGTAGTCGGGTCCCCTCTGCCCTGGAGAACGAGGAGAATCGAGTTCTATTCCTGGAGGACAGAGGCAGCCTGGGCATGTCGAACAGCCCACTCCGTTCTTCCAGGACTTCGGGAGGTTCTGGGTTGCTTAGTGCACTTTTACCAACCTGCTAGCAGCCTCTGGAGGCAGAGAGGAGAGAAGGACCAGGCTGCGGTCATGCCATTTGACGATATGTTTAATTTTTGACCTACAGTGCCAGGTTTGGGGGCCTGCCTCGTGGATGGGCATTTTGGTAGTCATTCAGCCATTTGAGCACCAGCTACGTGTCAGACACACTATTAAACGATGGAAGTACAAGGAAATAAAACAGCCCCTGACCAGGAGCCTGGTTAGGAACAGGCAGGAAAACAGAGTTTGGAAAGTGCTCTAATAGACAGTGTGGATTTTGCACTATTAATCATTCCCTAAGGCCTAGAAGTAGGATCGAACCTATCATTTTGAAAAGTGTTTGGGGAATGAGTGTATGTTCATATGCTCAAAACCGTAGTTTTGTTTTGCTTCTCTTTCCCTAATTGGAATTGTTCCCAAGGTTGTTATATGGAACTCTTTATCCATCTGTCGCTAGGAGAGGTGGTTAGGATGATTCTTAACACTAATAAATGAACATCCTGCTACTTCTGAAATAAGATCTCTTAGTGAGGTCAGTCTCCAGGATTCACCTTGGAGAGACCTGCCTTGTATTTCATACTTGAAGTGGAGGCCTGTACGCTGGCAAAATTAGTAACAATAATTGTTATATTGTACAGTTATGACTAAATCTAATTATAAATTTATAACAGAAACAAGGGCTTGATACATGGTGATTCACAAAGTAGCAGAGAGATATTTTAACTGGAGATTGGAACTTCATGGAATTTAGGGTAGCAAAGGAAATCCTCACCTCTTGAATCTAGCTAACTCTCCAGGTTGGTTTGCCTACCAGTGTGTCCTAGGGAAGGGTGACTGCAAAAGATTGTAGAGAAATCTCCCGTTGATGAAAAACCTTTGGGATCTTTGCAGAATTCCTATGATGGATTGTTGTGTTGATTCAGGTCAAGTCTTTTACTTATCTGACCATAGACTATGGGCGACAGAGTGAGACTTGGTCTCAAAAAAAAAAAAAAAGTTTCTTGTCTGAAGAAGTGTAAGACAAGGCCAGGGCCTGGAGTGGATAATGGATACATTGGTGGAACATTGGTATTAGAGAGCATCTTTTTTTTTTTTTAAGGCAGAGTCTTGCACTCTGTGGCTTAGGCTGAAGTGCAGTAGTGCTATCTCGGCTCACTGCAACCTCTGCCTCCTAGGTTCAGGTGATTCTCAGGCCTCAGCCTCTTGAGTCGCTGGGATGACAGGTGTGCAGCCACCATGCCCAGTTAATTTTTGTATTTTAGTAGAGACAGGTTTCACTTTGTGGCCAGGCTGATCTTGAACCCCTGACCTCAAGTGATGTGCCCACCTTGGCCTCCCAAAGTGCTGGGATTACAGGTGTGAGCCACTGTGCCTGGTACGAGCATCTTTCAAATCTAGACTCAACAATATGGCAGACAGTAAAGAATCTTTTTTTTTTTTTTGAAATGGAGTCTCACTCTGTTGCCCAGGTTGGGGTGCAGTGGCATGATCTTGGCTCACTGCAACTTCTGCCTCCTAGGTTCAAGGAATTTTCCTGCCTTAGCCTCCTGAGTAGCTGGGATTACAAGTGTGCACCACCACGCCCAGCTAATTTTTATACTTTTAGTAGAGACAGGGTTTCACCATGTTAGTCAGGCTGGTCTCGAACTCCTGACCTCATGGTCTACCCACCTCGGCCTCCCAAAGTGCTTACAGGCATGAGCTACCGCACCCAGCCAAGAATCTTCTTTTTCACGTTGTTATTCCAGCACACTTTTTTTTTTTTTTAAATTGTGGTGGAGTTTCGCTCTTGTTGCCCAGGCTGTAGTATAATGGTGTGATCTTGACTTACCTTCTGGGTTCAAACGATTCTCCTGCCTCAGCCTCCCTAGTAGCTGGGATTACAGGCATGCACCACCAAGCCCTGAATTTTGTATTTTTAGTGGAGACGGGGTTTCACAGTGTTGGTCCTGCTGATTTCCAACTCCTGACCTCATGGGATCTGCCCACCTTGGCCTCCCAAAGTGCTGGGATTGCAGGCGTGAGCCGCCACACTCAGTTTTTTTTTTTTTTTT